AATTTCTCAATGGCTAGCCAGACTAGCCTCTGTATTGTCCACTCTCCAAAGCAAAAGCTCTTTGATAGAAGGCCCACAACTTGATTTTCTTCTCAATAGATGCACTTGATTCTGAAGTCCACAATATTCTCCCCCTACCTTTACCTTGCTTAAATACTTAACCATCATATAATCTCTAGCTTCAAATTCTCTACTAACATTAATTATCACCAATTATGAGTTTGGCTTCACCAATAAATGTAGGATGCCCATTTTGAAAGCTAGGCATAGACCCACTATTAGTGCTTCATATTCTGCCAGTTATTAATGACTTTGAAATTGAGGATGACCAAATGATAAAGGTGTTCCCCGATCAAATTACTCAGTGCTAGTTTGATTCATTCTCTTGCCAAACTCGAGGCACCATCAATGTGCAAGGTTTAGGTTCAATTACTAGTAGTAGTTCCTTTGTTTGACTTTTTTGGAGAGATCTACCAGAAAGTCTGCTAAGACTTGATCTTTAATCACCATTTGAGGAATGTAGGTGATCTCATACTCATTAAGCTCCACAACCCACTTTAAGAGTCCATCTGAATGTTCCAGTTGAGTGAGCACGAATTTAAAAAGGTAGCTAGTGAAAACCCCAATTGGATGGGTATGAAGATACAACTGGAGCCTGTGAGAAGAATCAATTAGAGTAAATCTTAACTTTTCCAAAATAGGATAACTGACCTTAGTGACTCTGAGGACCCTACTATTGTTGTAGATTGGGAATTACATTTCTAGCTCCTCTCGAACCAAGACCGAGCTCATAGTTTAAGTCGAACTTACAAATATAGAGAGAACTCTTCCTTCAGTTTGGGGCTTTATAGAAGAGGACGTGAGGCTAGTAATTATTTCAGGCTTTTGACTGCTAATTCACACTTGGTCAACCACTCAAAACTCTTAGCTTTCCTCAAAATTTTGAAGAATGATGCACATTCTTCGCTTGGCTTTGAGATGAAATAGCTGAGTATTGTTATCTAGATGATCATTTTTTGTGCTTCCTTAACATTTTGGGGAGAATTCATATTTAAAAGCGCTAGCACTTCTACAATTTGGCTTTTATTCCTTCAAGTGTTAGGAGATATACTAGAAACTTGCTGGTCAAAGCTCTGAATATATATTTCAGTGGATTAATTTTCATGTTATTATTTATGAGCATTTAAACTATTTTCTTATGATCATTTATATGATGTTTGACAATCAAATTTTAAAAAGGATATCATCGACATAAACTTCAATATTATTTTCCCTTTTTGATTCAAAAAGGTTACATCCATTAAATGTCGGTAGATAGCCCAAGCATTCTTTAGCCCAAAGGGCATTATATTATAACAATAATTCATTTGCTTGTGATGCATGAAATCTTCTCAGTGTCAGTTAGATTCATTCTAATTTGAGGATGATGGAAGAAATCATCTAGGAAGCTCATTACTGAATGTTAAACTGTCAAATTCACCAGAACGTCAATCCTCAGTAGTGGGTAGTTGCCTTAGCCTGCCTCCTTGATCTCATGTGCTTCTTCTCAGATCTGCTTGACCAAAGTGATGATCAACATTCTCATATTTTGCTTTATTAGCTAAGAGACTTGATTAATGTTGAGTTGGAGACATGATGCGCCAATTAGGATGCCTAACATCTCAGTGACCAACTAGGCAAAAATGTTTTGATCTAGATCAACAAATCTGCACCCTACATCAAAAATTTCATTAGTTATAAAAAATTTCTCATTTTTCGGAGAGTAGCAGGTATATCGATTATGATTTTGTCAGTTTTGAGACCCCTCACTCTCATTGATTTTGGATGTCGAACAATTATTGCTCCACACTACCAACAACCTAGAAGTAGCATGTCCAAAACTGCTTCAGATTGCCATGAATTGTAATTATTTCCCTGTTTCATGGAAACAACACTACAGCATTATAGGTGGAGACCAAAACTCTGAATTTATTGAGCAATGAGCGATCTAAAATCGTATTGTAAGTGGGTGGCCATCAAACACCAATAAATCTTCCATGTTAGTTAATTGGTTGTCACCTTCTCCCCAGCTGGCTGATAACTTGATTATTCTTAGGACTTCCTTTCACTCGTCATAAAAATCGTACAACAGACTGGTCGGTGCAACTAAGTAGTCAATTGATAGATGCATTTTTTTAAAGGTTTATTTAAACAATATATTTCATGAATTGACATTATTAACAAAAATATTACCCACTAGTAGTTATTGATCATCATCGTGACTACTATGATGTTGTTTGTGAGGATTCCCTGTAGGGGCCTAATCCGTGTCAATAAAATTAGTTGGGGGATATGGCTTCTGCTTCGGTGCAAACGTTGAGGCGCACTGTTCCCCCATTTAGAGCCTCTTACGGTTGACTAGCCAATGGAGTCTCCTTCCAGTATAGTTGAAACTATCCCGAAGATGTGCATAACATTAGCTCAGAAGCGCTCGTACGAGTCATCTAATGTATGGACATTCCCCTACCTTTGGTTCTTCTCCCTTGGGATCACAAACTTTTTGTGTTGTCTAACAAAAATCGACCAGGCTTTGGATGTGTCTGCACTCCTCCGTGTCATGACCATGGTCTTCGTGATATTTGCAGAATTTATGTGTATTCCGAAGAAAAATGTTTGCTTCTCATAGGTGGAGTCTTTTAAAAGACTCCTTATCTTATATGGCTTCTACTAACTCCATTATTGAAATCTTCAACCGAATTAGTTTCAATTTCTTGGTGAACCATCAATTAGTCGTTTGATCGACTCTATCTTTAATACTTTTTGTTAGCTTCTCAATTGCTACGAAACTACTGACTATCGACACATTTGGGTTATGAGCGTCTTTTGGCCTTCATCCATCATCTCACAAGCCCTTTTTCTATGAACGGTGATCAGATTGTTCACCTTTTTTATAGGGCGGGTAAACAAAATCCTCCATCTTGGTGTGGTCTTTGGATAACTCTAGGAGTTCATCTAAACTGTTTGGTTGACATAAACCAAGAAAATAGTTGAATTACTCGCTATTTGACCCTTGTGCTAGGGTGGCTTGTGCTACTGCTGGCCCTAAATTTTGTACTTTGAGCATTTTTTCAGGAATTGAGTGATATACATTCATAGACTCTATTTCAGCCCCTAATTGACCCGCAACAAGGCCTGTGAGTCCTTGCAGGGTTTCTAGGCGCCAACGAACTACGTGGTGAAGATCTTCTTGAACTTACCAAACAAGATAATAACTTCTGTAGGGAGGCCATAACCACCTAAGGGCCAAATATCTTAGCATGGTATAAAATATTCGACACTTCAGGATGTCAAAGATTTTGAGAAGGCATGCAACAAACTCAAAGGATGCTATGTGGTCAGTTGGATCGCTCCAAACCTTATAGGATTCAAAGAATAAAATTTTAAACTTCTCTCGGGGTTTATCATCAAAAGTCTACAAGACGAAAGCATTCTCTGGCTGTTTATAGCTCGAGTCACCCAAATTAGGCTGTGAACATTAGTATAGACCCAACAATATCATGGTACTAAGATTCTTCGACTCTTTCAACAACTTGATCCATTGGTTGGTCTTGGGGTTTGGGTTATACTTGAGGGTTCAATTCTTGAGGAGCTTGTGCTCTCCCCTTAACTATTACTCGAGTCAACTCTTCCATTTATTGTCATTTTCTCTTGGAGTTTTTGAATTTGTTGTTGTACAAATTCTCTTATAGGCTCAACGATCGAGGTTTCTCCCATGCAAGTTCCTTCTCCGTGGCGCACTCCTTTTTTTGTTGACGAAATGATTCCACTCTCACCACACCTTTTAGGATGCTAAATCAAAAAATATTTTGTGAAACACACCAAAGGTATAGACCATTGGACGATTGAGAGGAACCGAGACAGAAACAGAGAAAGCAACTTGTATAATAACACAAGTTTTGAAAGGGTAAATTCATTGGTCATTTCTTGAGAAATGACGTGCTATTTAATCATATGGGTATCTAGCGAAGCTACATATTTGTCTATATTTTAATAGAGATGTTACAGACAATTATTACACATGTTAATATTTATAACAGACTCCAGAACCTTTTAATATCCATAATTGACTTTGACATTGTTTCATATTAGTAACGGCTTAACGTTTAGCCGACTGAGAAGTGTTCGATCGGCTAGAAATTCTTCAATCGGCTAGAAGTCTTCGATCGACTAGAAAGTCTTCAGTAGGCCTCCTCGAGAGAATCCTTGGTGGAGGCCCCCTTGTTGTTAGGGTAAACTTTAACCATCAGGTAGAGATGTATCACTATAATTTAATGGACAACTCGTCTTTGGCAAGGGGCCTTCTCAGAAGATTGAACAGATATTCAATATAGTGCTATTTGACCATCTTTATGAAGAATCCCAAAATCAGTCAAGGGAGCAAACGGTAGGTGGATGTCCCTTAAGACAGATGTCTTCTGTTCTTTCGTTTGTTTAAGCTTTCGTTTAGTCGTCCAATACTTCCGGTCAAAGAAACTAATGTTTGACACCTTTATTTTTTATTATCCCTATCTTCTGACTATCTTAATGCAGTTCTTGGGTGTCCATTTAGTGAGATCCGTTAAATTTTTTCGAGATTTGTGGAGTCATATTTTTGATATATAAAGGTAGAAATAAAATGAGAGAAAAATAAGAAATATGATTAATTTATATAAAAAATAAATTAATTTAAAAATATTATTAATTAATAAATATAAAATAAAATAAATAATTCTTATATTTAAAAAATAAGATTATGTCAAGTAAGAAAATAAAGACAAACATACTCATGTTATAATTTAGATGAAAGAAAAAAGCTAAAAAAAAAAAAAAAAAAAATCATACATTGTTTCAAAAGTTTTCCTTTTTTAAGGAAAATTTTTGATAAAAAATTTATTTATTTAAAGCATTTTTAAATTTCCAATCATAATCAAGCTGACTAATTTGCAAGTTTCCTTTCGTCTTCTTCCGAGGTTGGACCGGCTCGTTTGAACTTAGCTCTCCACTTCCCTGCGGAGAAAGCAAGGCGAGGTTCAAAACTCGACATGGTGCACAGCGACGGTCGATTTCACCAAAATTCGTGGCCTGCCGCGAACTCCTTATTCGACCGCCTCTTAAAGCAAGCAAACCTCTTGGATTTGAGCAGACGGGGAACCCATCCCGTCTTTTCCCTTGATGGATTCTCCTTCTCCATCTCGATTAGATTATCAAGAAGCGGACGAGTATCAATCCGCGGAGGAGGCCATGGAGGTTTTACCCGATTCGGAGTCCGAAGGATATGAAATAGAACTAGAGTCCATGACAGGAAAGGTAAACTTCTTCATTATTCCATCGCTAAATGATATAATTCAACTTCATGCTAGTTAACGAGTTATTTAAACTCTGTTTTTTCATGAATTTTAGGGTACAAATCGTTTGTGCACGGAGCTTCTTGAATTAAAGAAAGCATCAGATGAAGATTTTCAGAAAAACATATATTCAAATTATTCAGCCTTTCTGAGGTAATTCTCTTTGCAATGTCTTGTTCTGTGTTCACATACTATATAATCGAGTTTGATTACTTCAAGCCTTTGAACTATTTTCATCTACCAGAATCAATTGTTCATAAAGTATTACGACAACTTTTATTTCTTTTTATAAAGTGATCGAACTCTTTTTAATCAACGCATTGAATATTCATCCATTTAGTTGTTGTTCAAATTGAAAAGGGTACTCTGAGCTCAAAACTCTGATTGTATCAACATAACTTAACAGTCAGGTTTCCCTTGTGATATGCCATTTTCATTGATTTTAGAAGGGCGTTCCTTCAGAATTTTCTTAATTTTTTTCAGAACGGTCAAAAGTTACCTAAAATGTTTGAACTAAAGTCTATGAACCATGCTATCTCTTCTATGTGATTAGCGTTGGAACCAAATTTAACTATTGTTAATTCCAAGACCCTACTCGCAAGAATGACATAGTAACTAAAGAGAATAAAAGGGAGAGAGAGAATCCAAAGAAGAAAACTTTGAGGTTCAACTATATTGTTAGAAACTGCAAAACTATAGCAATGGCTAGATGTGTCTTAGGTTCTCCTCATGATCCCATATTTATAAGTAGGGGTTGGAGCTTACACTATAAGAAAGTTTATATTCAAGAAAAGTAAGCAAATTACATGGCAATGCCTAATGATAACTGTCTATAATTGAATATTGTTAGTTGTAGTTATTCAAATACATTAAACACACATGGTGATTTCTAAATAATGTGTAGATCCATGTGACATTGTTGGTCCACTTCATCGAGCTTGATTTAGTATGAGCGTGTTTTTGCGTTGAATGACTTTAATAACTTGGTCTAGTTGGTCCTAAAACTGAATGTGGCTGGTGAGTTGGGTCGAGTAGTCCTGGTGTCCGTTGGCTTGTTCGGGTCATCCTTTAAACTGAATACTTTGACTAGAGTGGATATAGTGAGTTCAATCTGTTGGCACTCCTAACAAGTTGACTAGCCTCGTGCTTGGCCTTGGCAAATTTTGGTTATATTTAAATCCCTAGTTCTTTTCTCTTTGAAGATATTCCAAAGAATAAGGAATTAAAATTCTCATGTAATGTGTCGCCACATCAATGTTGACTATTCGTGCTATTTTGTTCGTTTTGTGTATGTCAACTTCATGTCTTTCATATAAATATGAACTCTAAGGCGTCCTTTTGTAGATTTCCTTTCTTGCTACCATCTTTTCATTTTTTCTTTACTCATATGAAATCATCTTGATATGGTCGAGCTAATCCTTATTTTCCTCATTTCATGCTAAAGGGGTATGCAAAGTAAAAAAGTTACATAAAGATATCATATATGGAGAAGATGTTTGACTCCCAATCACCCCTCAAAAGAGATTTAGAACCAGGTGAGCTGAGTAAGGAGGTTGTGGCCCTTGATGATGCTACCAGTCATGGTGCTTCAATCAATTCGATGACTTCAACAAAGGTTCCACTCATCATAATGATCAATGTTGGGTGAAATGCTTTTTTGTTTACTTTTGTTGTAATAAGTTTATTTACATTGAGTTTTTAGGTGAAGTTGATTAAGAGGTCGATTGCAAGGTAAAATCAACTTCAAGATTGACGATCAACCCTTTCCTCTCAAATTGTAGTTTGGAAAATACTTGTAATGTTTAATTGATGATGCCATCCTCAGTGATCTTTAGGAGTGGTTGCTACTACTTGAGGATGTTTTGGATTACCATGTCTAAGAGTCCTCTAGCTCTCAACTTCACTTCTATGAAGGGGTTCTCCCGAGAAAGCTCTGTTGATTACTAAAGAGCTTACTTACCTATTCAACTTTGTTTATTTTTGTTCTACCTATGAGCTTACTCATCAATTTTAACTAGCAATTATCTCATCTCAATTGCCATACTTCGTAACAGAAACAATATTGGCGAGATCATGAAGGTAAAAATTGCATTTAGTTGACATTAGAGGTGTAAATAAATGGCATGACATGAGAACTCAACACGAATTTGATCTAAAAAAATTGAGTTCGAGTCGATTAACTTTTGGGTTGAGTTGGAGTTGAATATTTTGAAACAATTTTTGGCTTGAGTTTGAGTTGAAATGCCAACAAACTTTTGTCCCGCCAACTTATATAAATGTTTATATTTAACTTCATTTTTATTAGTTCGCATTTACCTTTCTATATATTTTTTTTTTTGTTATGCATCTATGTTTCCTATTTGTATAGTTTTTTTCATTTATACTTGTTTATATTACATGGGTCGTGTTTGATTGGTTACGTTCAGGTCAAGTTTCACAACTGTTTATTGAACAAGTTAGGTTTGGGTCAGGTCAAATTCGAATTGGACACAAATCCAACTTATTAACCCAAATTGATACCTCACTTTACTTGTATAAAATAAAAGAAAGAAAGAAAATTATAAGTTAAGTTGCTCTTCTCATTTAAATTCAACACTTCAGTCAAAAAATGAAAAATCTCAGGGTCATATGTTGGAGGAAGCTTTTGTTTCTTGGTTAATTTTTCAAAACACAAACTTAATACCTTTTTTTGAATTGTCAAGATCAAATGTTTGTATAGTCAACTAACTTAATTATGGAGTTGAAGAATTCTTCATATGAATTCAGCAGGCATGGAACTTTTTTCTTCTTCAGAAGTTCTTTAGAGTGGCAACTTCCATAAAGGAGACTTCATTTTCTTTTCTTCTATTCTTAGATAATGCAATCACTATCGCCAAGGTTGTATATTCCCATACTTATTTTTCCAACTTTCTATGTTCACTCCTTGTTGGCCGTCTTGCTTTCTAAAGTGACTTTAAAGTATCTAAAGTTCTTCTAATGAAAGAAACCTTCAAGATTGGTTCCTTTCAACCTTCATCTGCTTCTCAAAATGACTTGCCAAAGAGTAAATATATTGCCAATACACAGTGCAAGTTGTCATTGTTATAAGATGGAAGTCGGCTGTGGGTACCTAGTCAATTTTATTCCTAGTTGTTTGTGAGAAGATGAATGGACTGGGATCGAAAGTTGCACATGGGACCCCTTCTTTTGCCATCAAAGATCATCCAAATGGTCGATGCGTTCCACGTTCTCAGCATCAAGCCTCGATAGGCTTTTTTCTTTGGGCTCTTTGGGTGAACTTAGGCTCTCCTAGGCCATGCCTCAACAATCTTTCCTTTTTCTACTTTGGAGAATCACTTGTTTTCTTTTCAACCCTTGGGCCTTCTTGACTGCCAACACTTCAACAGGGAGGTGGTTAGGAAATAACAAGATAATGAAAATATGCGATGTCGATGGCCTTTAGAATAACATGAACATCATTTTGCGGTTGTCCCAGTTGTCGGATGGCTAAATTGCAAGATAGGGGCGAGGTTCATCACCTATTCCTAAGCAAGATACATACACAACTCTTGCAAAGGGAAATGGTACAACTCTCATTATATCATAAATTAGAGCATACAATCTCTCAAAACACAAAAAATAAAGCTAAGTCCTCAAAACATTAAAAAAGAACACATAAATAGTCGTTCAATAAGAGATACCCGAATTAGAAATAGGAAAATAGGAAAGAATCAGAAGAAGAAAAAAGAAAAAAAAGAAAAGGCTAAAATTAGAAATCGGTAGCCCAGGATCGCAGATTTCTGGTTTGGGAGTCTTGCGGGGAGCACTAAATTCAGCCATTTCGCGATTCTGCGAAATCTTATGAAAGCAATTAAGCTTCCATGCCACTAAATTAAGTTTAGAAAAGGGATTTCCTTACCAAAATGCGATCCTTTATAATTTGAAGTTTATACTAATGCTCACTATGTCATAACTGACTCAAAAACTTAAAGTTACTAAGACAAGAACGAACAATTGAATGGTAAAAACATATTATTTTATTAGTTAAGATAATCTAAAAATATCTTTTAAATAATTAAGAGCCATTAAACATCAATATTTTAATTCAATTCCAACTCACATTTATAAAAGAAATTTGATACAAAAATTGTAATTGAGAAATTTAAAATAAGATACAACTATTGTTTGGTACATTTTCTCATTTGCCTTTTCTTTTTTATGCAGGCTCACTCTACACCCATTTAATTTATATAAACTTTTTATGGGATTAAAAAAGTATTATTAAGTTGTACAATAACTTAAATAGATAGTTATAGTTTATAATATATTTATTTTTATGCATATGCTCAACTATACATGCAATTCAAAATGAATGAAAAAGCAATTTTTATTTTATTAGAAATTTGAATTAGTTATATCTACATTTAACTTAAGAAGTTATCTTTGGAACATCGTCAAATACCCTAGCGTTTAAGATACATTTATTTATATTTCTTTCTCTAAGCTTTTTTGTCATGACCCAGCCTGGGATTTGAAATTAACTAAAATAGAAACAGATGGTCGGATGGTGGGAACTAAGTTTTTTATATTCATTTACTTTTTAACAAATGAAAGATTCATTAATCAAATTAAATTAAATCAATAAATTTAAATGTATCTCGTTGCTGGTTGTCTGCATCTTCTATAAGCATTGTCTCTTCTATAGTTCATCTTTAAATCAATTACATTAACCTGAAAAATTAGTTTAAAATTTAAAATGAGCCCAAATCACATAGAGCCTTTCCAAAAAATCTTTGGTTTGTAGCACAATGAATAGTAAAACTACCAGGATTTTTAAGTTTTTCAGGAAGTTTTTTCTGAATTATAGTGTTATACTCTTCATTAAGTGCAACCGTCTTATTATCTATAAGCTTCCTTTTTCTATTAAGTATATCCTTCACAAAATTTACATAACTCGACATTTTTTCCATGACTTCGGCAAATGGAATGTTTATTGTTAGTTTTTTAGATATTTCCAAAAATTTTGAGAATTTTTTATCCAATTTTTGTTTTCTCAATCTTTGAGGAAATGAAGGTGATGGTTTTTCAACAGTAATTTACATCGGTTTAATAAGATATTCTAAATCATGATGAATATCTTCTTGAGATTTTTCAATTTCCACCATTCGTTCACAACTTCAATCTCTTTTTGAAGTTTTGTTTCCACTTTTTAGTTGTATAGCTTTATTTTGTTTTTTGTTCTGGTTTTTAGGATTAATCCCAACATTAATAAGAATAGTTCCTTGAGGCCTACTGCTCAGTGCAGTAGCAATATGTCTCAATTGATTCTTAATGTTTCTAATTGCTACTCCCTGACTTTGTAATTGATTAGCCATTTATAATACCGAATCTTTCATAGACAATTTATTCTCTTTAAATTGTGAATTACTGTTAAAACCGGGAGGATAACAAGGTCTATAATTAGTATTTCTTTGATTGTTTACATTTCCTAAAGGGTTCACTTGATTGTTCCCCCATTGTGGATTTACACCGTTAGAGTTATTGTTATGTTAGAGTTATTGTTATTCCAACTGAGTTATTGTTATTCCAACTTAAATTAGGGTGATTTTTTCAACCAGGATTGCAATAATTAAAATAGAGATTATTAGGTCGATTATTTATTGCGTTCAAGTTTCATACAATGATTGAGAATCTATCATTTGTCCGAATGAATTTTCCTCAACCACTGGTGGTGTTTGAGATATATTCATTTTGAATTGGTACAACTTATTTGATATTGCAACAATTTGAGAAGCAAAAATAGAAATTGCATTAGAGTCATGAACACTGGCTACTCTTTTTGGATTTACTCTTTCAGAAGACCATTGAAAATTGTTAGTAGTCATCTCTTCAATTAATGAATACGCTTTATCGAATGGTTTTGACATTAATGATCCCCCAGCAACAACGTCAATAATAAATTTAAGAGATCTCACCAATCTATTATAAAATTTTTGCATTATTAACCAATCTCATAAAATATGGTGTGGACACTTCAGAAGATCTTTAAATCGTTCACAAGCTTTATATATTGATCCCCTTTCAAACTGATAAGAAAATGTAATATTGTTTCTAAGATTTGCAGTTTTTGGTAATGGGAAATATTTAGCCAAAAAGTTCTGAGATAATTCTCTCCAAGTTCTAATTGATCTAGGTGCTAAAGAGTTTAACCACAGCTTAGCTTTGTCCCTTAATGAAAAAGGAAAAAGTCTAAGTCTGATGGTGTTATTCGACACTCCATCATATTTAAATGTATCACACAATTCTAAAAAACTAGCAATATGTAAATTCAGATCTTCAAATAGTGTTCTCCCAAACTAATTATTTTGTACTATTTGAATAATAACAGGTTTAAGCTCAAATGAATTAGCAACTACAGCAGAAGTTTGTATAGTTAAGTGAATTTCATCTAATGTAGGGTTAACATAGTCTCTTAATAGTCTCTGCTGATGTTTATTTCCCATACATTGATTTTTTAAATTGTTCGTCACTTTGTTAAGTTTTTTTTTTTTTTTTGAATTTTTCTTATAGTTCATTCTAATTCCGAATCATATGGTACTAATCCTTCGGATCCTAATTTTTCATACACAAATACAAGTAAAAATTATAAAAATAAGTATTCACACAACTAAAAAATTTTTGTTATTTTATTTTTTTATTTTTGTTATTTTAAAATAAAATTTATAATTCAAACAAAGTCTTTTAAGTAATTTACCGTAGCCTTCTCGGAAACAACGTCAAAAACTTGATGCGGATTTTTGTTTTGCGTTATAAATGTTTTTCAACACCACAACACACCAAACAGTTATACTAAAAAATATGTAAATTAACAACAATAAAATTTATTTCAGAACAATAAGTTTTTTCTTTTAAAATATCTAAAGCTGTCACTCCTAGTCAATTAAGGTTTACTTTCAATTTCAAATCGTCACTAGGTTGTAAACACAAGTATACGTATCGCTCAAGTAATAAGCTCAAGTAATAAAAGATAATGGAGTCCTGAGTATTAATCCCACAGGGAGGTGAAAATTTAAGGAATAATAGTAGTATTTCCTATCAACAGACTTGTATTATCTTATTAGATAGTTGTAAGTTTGGGTGTTGTTGAATGTGTTGGTTTAGGTCTTTCATATGATTGAGTTCATTCACCCTATTAATTGTGAGTAAAGTTCTAGAATGGGTATTAGAGATAGATTTAATTAGTTGAGTTGGCCTTGTTTATCACATCTTGGGCTCGCCCCAGAGGGGTCATGTTGGAGCATGAGATTCTGGAGAATCGGTTCTTCAATTGCCCTGATTATATTTCAGTTGATTTTTGGAAGGTAGGTGACCGTTGCTTCTATCATACAATTGATTGCTGCTTCTATTTTTGGAATAGAACCATCCACGGATTGCTAAGGTTGAAAGTCCACAATATTTCTAAAAGGTTGATTTTGAATAACTAGTTTTGGAAGCAGTTGAATTGAAAAACATTACAAGCTCACTTGGAGGTTCACGCTGATTTAATAACAACTGTATTCTGCATTGGAGGCTAATGAATTGAGCTTATTTGTTTTCTCATTTTTACTCGATCCATGATTTCATAATTCCATTCAAATTTGAATTAATGTAAACATTTTTTATGATTATTTTATTATTTTGATTTCTCCATTAATGGAGAATCAAATTGTGTCTATACTTATAACTTTATGTAAATAAAATTATTTAATTACATTATCTTCACTCTTAATTTCTAATTGTAATGTAGTTGGTAATGATGGTTGACACTGGCTTTAAATTGGTTTCTTGTTTCTCTCTCAATTCCTCCTCTTCAGGCCCTTGAAATTTTACATTTTGCATTAATCTAAAAACGAATGGGATACAAAGAAACTAAATTGAGCTCAACCAAAACATGGACCTGGTCAAAATTAACAAAAGGAAAAAGGAAGTGGGAGCTAGCCGCCTCTTCAACCAAAAAATTATCATGGAAGGCCTTGTTAGCACATAAGCACAAGTATATGTGCAACCATGTTTTCTTTTTTTGAATTTATGTTGAAACAAATTTTTTTTAAAACCAAACAAAAAGGAAAAATCTGCAGCATGCTGAAGTCTGGCTTAACCCCGAGACTATATTTCCCTACCCGCTCAGCTTTTGCACTGTAGATTTGTTGACTGATTGGTTTCTTCCTTGAGACTTCCACTGTAGCAATGGTGGGATTGCTAACTTCTTGCCATTTTCATTTTATTTCCGCTTTAGTTGGAAGAAAAAATTTTGGTATATTGTTGAAAACGTGATATCAAAATTGGAAACATACAATTTTGTTGAAGCTAGGGTTGGAAAATTGTTATCCTTGCTGGAATACAAGTCTGCTGAATTGAAACTTGTAATATTCAACTAAATCTTTGGGGATTATGAGATGTTACCTTTGGTGTCTTTACGGATAATAAATAGGAATTTTGAAGAGTGTAAAATTCATTGCATGATTGATAAAAATTCATTGCATGATTGATAAAAATTATACTCGGTAAAATTCATTGCATTATGAAGAAACCAATCAGTCAAAACAAATCTACAGTGCAAAAGCCGAGCGGGTAGGGAAATATAGTCTCGGGGTTAAGCCAGACTACAACATGCTGCAGATTTTTTCTTTTTGTTTGGTTTTAAGAAATTTTTGTTTCAACACATAAATTCAAAAAAAAAAAAAGATAAAAATTCTCCGAAGTTTTGTATGTTGTTTGATGCTGGCTCTTTGTTTTGACTCAACATTAGAGGGAACATTCATGTTGTACCGATTTGAGGCCTGAACCTTTCAATTGATAATTTTTATTCTTCTTTTCTATCTAAATTAATTAAAGATTTGTTTGTTCGGATGGTTGAATTTTACTGAATTCAATACACATTAGTTTGCATGTTTATGGTGTAAATTTTAATAACTACCGAATTTTCTTTATTTGTTTAAATTTAATGTGAAATGTCGTTTTTTTGCAGTTTTAATGTGTTATCATTTTGAATGAATTAATATTATTTTCTGATTTTGCATTGGAAGAGACTTATCGTTGCCTAAATTAAAAGTTAGAGAACTTAATTTTTGATATTTTGTGTTTTTCGTACATTTCATCAGATATTTGCATTAGTGAACCTGGATTCTAAACATCCTACATTAGTTTGCTTTTCTAACCACCTAGTATATTCATGCCTTGTATGCAAATTCATTCATAACCTGATTACAATTAGGTTGCATTATGAAGTTAATTCTCTTTCTGGAGAGATTCTTTCTTAACTGGAGTGGTAGTAATAGGAAACCAATGGTCAGTGAATGCCTTGGCATTGACGGCCTTGTGTTTTAATACATTTGTTATTGAACTCAAACTTCAAAAGGGCTGAGGTCGTCTCTTGTCTACAATTTTAGCCTTATGGAACAATTTTGAATAACAAAAACTGAATTTGGTAAAATTTTCACACATTTAACAATGATGGATCATTTACAGGATATTTGAAGAATTTGGAGCCATAGAAAGTGAAATCATGAAATTGAAGAATCATGTTTCAACCCAAAGCATGCTTGTAGAAGAGTTTATGAACAGCTTTCATTCAGAGATAATATTGGAGAAATTGGAAAACATGAATGATGAGTGTGCTGAAGATCTTGAACTTGATTTTCCCAGCTGGATGGAAACTCACATGCAAAATATTCTTGAAACATTGGATATTCTTATGTCAGAGCACAGGATGGAAGAAGCCTTAGTTGTCTTGGAGAAGGAGAACCAAACCTTTCAAAAGTTGCAAAAGGAAAAAGACAAATTCTCTCCAAGTATCAGTCTATTTGCACGTGCAATTTCAGATTGGAGGGCTAGGCTTGCTGAACATTTTGCTTCATTGGCTGGACACCGGAGAGTGACTTGGCCAGAACTCCATGCTGCATTATTTGGACTTTGTAGACTTGGTGAAAATGATCGTGCATGTGTTTTATTACTGAAATTCTTTCATCTACAACTTGAAAACAGTGTCAACGAACTGAAAAGCTCGGCACTATTTCCTAAAGGAACTTACATGTTAGAACTTACACAGATTGTGTTCTCTAACATTTTCCGAGCGGCAAGGAGTTTTGTGCTGTTGTTTGAGGAGGCATCTCCTTATTCTTCGGACTTAATGCAATGGGCTAGAGTAGAACTTGATGCAATTTTTCATAGTTTTGATATGTATGTCAAGTCAATCTCAGAAACAAGCTTTGCCTTAGGTTTGGCTGTTGAAATTATGACCATTTCTTTTTCATTTTGTTCATTATTGGAACACGAGAGATTTAGTTTGCAGTTTGACGTGATTAAGCTGATGAGACCTTGCATAACAGAATTATTGCGAATGCATTTTGATCAGTTGAGGAAAGTTGTTAGTCTATTTGCTTCTACAGATAATTGGGTCTTGGGGAAGTTTCTTATTTCGGGAAAATTAAGCAACAATCCACATTTACTAGAAATCAATGGAAAGTTGGAATACCTCCGGCTTACCAGTAGTGGGAGAAAGTTTATCACACTCTTGCAGGTATGATAAATTAGGTCAATAGCATTAGAGATTGATACAAGATTCAACTACTCTTTCATAAATAGCTTGTTCTAGTTTCCCTTTTAGATATCCATTTCATCTTCTTTTTGTAAAGAATTGTTTGAAAGATACTGCCTTAGAGTCTATTTTTGAGGCTGTTTGGCTTGAAATATAGCAATGTAAAATAAATTGAATTTAGGATTTTTATATTTTTTAGGTGTTTGGTTTGAAGAAAAATAAATTTAGGTTGATCTTTAAAGGTAATCGAAAGTTTTTACTGGTTTATTTTGAATTAGTTTGGAACTATTCCAACTAGGATAATTTCAATTACATTGAAAATGTAAAGCTTTACCCACCATTGTTAGTCATTGCACACTGGCCATCAATTGTCTCTTGTAAACCCATTATTGGTGGTTATTGGCCTCCAATCATCATGCATTGCTAGCAATCATCGTCAGGCGAGCGATTGATGCTGACTGCCGCCTTATTTCAAGTGTTTGATCTATTTTGCAATCACCTGGACACAAAAAAGTGAATGAAATTTCTTTAATTAACAACCAAACATCGACAAAGTATTTCGATTACATGATTTTATGTTATATAAAATTTTGAATACTTGCATTACCCCTTCATCTTAAATGCTTTTGTGAAATATCCTTTTTTTACAGCGTTAAAATTTAAATAAGCTAAGTTTACATTTTGGAGCATACCATTTTTGTTCACTTTAGTTATTCATAGCACTGTTTTTATTCTTTAAATACTAGTGGCATCATGCCATCTGCAAAATACCATTGATCAGTATTGACAAATTTCAAGAACTCATTTCATTTTCAGGGCTTCTCCCTTTTTTAGTGAACTGTTGGAGCAAATTAGTAGGGTGATACCAAAGTTAACCCAAGCAATAGGAAAGTCAAATTATTATTACTGACAAAGCCAATTGGTGGTTACAACCAACACACAGAAACGAAAATACTAACAATCAGACACATGACTAAGGTGGATCTAGGGAGGTGGTGGTGATTGCTAGGGACGTGGCAGCAAGTTGATAGGTAGACTGAAAAGCTGAGGAATAACGATTAGAGTTGGTACAGAGCGGCTGGAGCAGTAGTGAGGAGGGGTTTGACGACTGTCACAAAATAAGGCTGCAAGAGGAATGATTCTAGACAGCTGGTAGCAAGGAGGCTGTCAGAGGGATTGTTCTAAGGCTGATACAACAGTAAAACAACAAATTTTTTGTTTTTAGGATGACAACCATGAGGAATGATGACTGAGAAAGGGTGTTAGAGCTGTGACAAGGGAGGAGGATGACGAAATTGAAGGTAAGGTTTTGCGACAATGTTAACAAGCTGGAATGAGAGAAACAAGTGGTTGGACGTGAAACTGTAGGTGATCAGCAAATAGGCGCTGTTTCGGGTGGCGCTAGTGAGCGTGAATGTCGATGGCAGTGGAGGGAGATGTAGGGGAATGCAGGACGACAAGAAGACGGCTACCTGGGCTAGAAGCAGCTCAGACAGGTGGCTGGACATGGGAAAACTACAATGAACATCAACGATGGTTGTTCAGGGGCGGCTGCGGCAATGGAGAGATACCTGGAGCAAAGTAGGTTGGATATCGAAAAGGATAAGAAAGATAATCACCACTTTGAAAGAGAGATACAACTAAAGCACCAACCAAACCCTCAGGTACAATCCTTAAAGGAAGAAAGTGAATGTATGTGGCTATCCTAAACAAACTCACTCAAAAACCTAACCGTGGACTCATTCAAAAATAAATATATAATAAGAGGATAGCTAGGAGTGGTTTAAGAGGACCGCCAACTCCTCGAAAGGGAGAAAACCTGGGTCGGTTTGGTCTAGGCGAAGTTAACGGGTTGTTGCATTGTTCGTGCAACTCCTGCGTTTGAAATAGAGGTGCTCCTGTGTCAGTCCCGAGGTTGGTGATGCTTCGACTATTTGTCGAAGCTTCTATCTTCGTATAGTATGGCATCAAGTTGACTCAGGTTAAGAAAGTGGAACTAGCATAATCTCTCGGTAAGTCAATGTTGTGGCGCTGTCATTCCAAAGTACATCCTGATAGAATAGACATCCGCCAACTTTGACACAATTAGAGCTAACATTGTAGAAAAATGAGCTTTCTCATAAATCAAGTTTTAAGCCACTAAATCCATAAACTATTTCTTTCACTTCTCGTGCTCCATTGGACATATCTGATAAATAAGTATGTAGGGAGGAATCAACTCTGGGATGAAGTCTATAACAAATTGAGCCACTCTCACTAGCAACCGCTCATGAGAGCCTTCTTTTTCGTCTCGGGTAGAACCTATATTCCACTATAAGATTTTCTCTCCCATCAAGCTCCTAAGGAAATTTACAACGTGGTGCTTCATCCCTCTTGTTTGCCCATCTATCGGTTGATATAATGCTGATCTAAATTTAATATCTAAATCACTCCATATGGTACGTTAGAAGTAGCTCAAAAGTTTCTCATCTCTGGCTTTCCTCTGCCCTGTTCCTTTCAGTACTGATTGAGTTTCCTTGACTATTTGGTGATAATCATCACCATGAAGCAAAAACATGTGATAAGTTTAATTTCATTAGTGGCTAAAATTAAAGTTGAAAAGTTAAATGACTTCAGTTATTTTTATTGGGATAAGTGAAACTATATTTAAAAAGTGTTTCCTATGAGAGTCTCCTCATTGAAAATACACCAGTTGAAACTGATTCAAATTATTCTGAGTGGAGAGAGTTGATGTCCAACTGTTGATACATCTACAAAACTCTATCGAACCTGATCAATCTGGTTATATTACTCATTGTGATTGGGTTAAAAATGTGGAGGAATTGACATTTGTGTTTTATGGTAGAGAATATTTATCGAATCTTTGATGTTTACGAGTTCTATTGAAATGAACAATAAGGTCAAGCACTTAAAACGTATCATATATAATTTAAATGTATTTATGAACAATTGAATGCACTATTGCATTTAGCACTAATGTATGGGTTCAACAGACTTAATGAGAACAAATGACTGAGTTTTGTTCCTTGTTTCAACTCTTAGTACAAATGTGTCAAATCACAAATTCTATTTGACACTAGAGTTACTGTTCTTAGGGAAGCTTATACTAGAGTGTTGTGTATTAGTCCAAGTTCTCAAGCTTCATCTGTACAATAACCTAGTGCTCTTGCTAGCCATAAAAATATAGACATCAAGAAACTACAGTCTCAGGGGAATTAATGAAGCAGAACTCAAAATTTTGTAAATCAAGACTATAGGGTAGTGTGCTACTATTGCCATGAACCTGGTCATATAAAGAAAACGTGTCAAAAAAGAATCAAAAGGGTTCTATATCACATTTAGCTCACATGATCACTGTTAATGAGGCTACTCAATGTCAAACATTTTCGATTTCTGTTGATAAATATGCTAAATTTATCATAAAGCCTTCTAGAAATCTCCCTTTGTCACTGCCTTTGCTGAGTCAGGTGACAATGACACTTGTCGTATTTCCTCTTTCATAAAATGGGTCATTAATTCTGGTGCTACAATGATATGAAATCCAAAACACTTTTTCACCTTTAATGAGCATCTTTCTTTTGTCACCTTAGAGGATGGATCTATCTCTAATGTTCTTAGTTCTAGCACCATTAATATTACACCTACAATTTCTTTAATGTCTATGATTAGTTTACTTCAATTCTCTTTTAATCTCGTCTCTGTTATCAAGATTACCTATGCTTTTAATTATTGTATTTTATTCCTCCCTAATTATTTTTTTTACCAGATCTTATGACGCAGAAGGTTATTGGTAAATGCAAGAAACGGGGGGCTATACATTTTGAGCAACAAACTATCTCAATCTATCGTCTATTCCAACACCTTATCTAAGTTTGAGTTTTATTGTCGATTAGGACATCCATCACTATTTCCTTTTTTTTGTGCTTTCCTATTATCCTTCAATTTTTTTTAATCTTTTTATTAGGTTTTGGAAGTCAGTTTTTATGTGTTTTGTTTTGGGACAGTTGTTGGAGTCTCTTTTTCCTTTTGAGGTTTGTATCTTAGGGTTCCAGGTGGTGCTTCGACTGTAGCTTAATTTCCAGGTGGTGTGTATCTTTCCCATACCCTTTCACCTCCCTCCCGCTTCACTGCCATGCCTCCCTCCTCGTTGTAGGCTGCCCCAATAACAACCTTATGCTATTTTCCTATAGATTTTCTTTGCCCAACTCTTTGTCATCACTACCACTGTTGTTACAACCCTCCACCTTCGCTGTTGCTGCTATCCAACCCTTCCTTTTTGCTGCCGCCCCCCATTTCAGCCCTTCATCCTTGCTGCCATCACCCTAGAAAACCCTCCTACATTGTTCCTTGATGTTTGCTTGTTTTCTGGCCCTAGGGAACATCCATCTTGCTGTTTTTTGCTTGGTAACCATCTTTTCCACCCCCGCGCCACCTTTCAAATACTCGCCAACTACCATCATTACCTCCGGATCTATCCTCTAGCTTGATTTTGTGTTTTCAATTGTTTATCAATTTTTCGCGAGTCGGTTGTAATTTCCTATTTGAGGTCGAGAAAAATATTTATTTTTCAATTGTTGTCTGGGTTAACTCCTATATCATTTGATATTGGAGCTAGTCTAACCCTTGTTCTATCCTAAGGTTTCTAGCACCACCTAAAATTTTGTTTCCCTCCGCCTACACATGTTTCACCTACCTACACCCAAAACCCTAACTATGCCCCCGAGGAGACAATTGTTGGAATATGATCAATAGTCTATCATGGGCGACATACAATGGTTACTCTACCAAGTGCTATATCGACTCGATGCCATTAAGGAAAGAATCCGGGATGGGATCACCGTCAACCGTAATAGTGAAATCCGTGAAGGAGAGCAACAAGAACACCTAAATCTCTTTTGTGTGGATGATTCCAGTGGAAAAGAAGACAGACCACAATACTTTAGAGTACAGTTGTAGTAATTGAATTTTAAATAAAAGAATAATAATATTAAATTATAAAAAAATCTAATAATGATACTAAGAAATCGAACCGTTAGGATGATTCGTTAAGTGAAGTTGAGAGGGGGAGGGCACAGTTGGTTCTTCTCCTTCGACCTTGAGGAATTCAATGCACAATAGAGGCTTTAACTTCTGGTTCGATCCAGAGTTGCGCACGTAACTCTTTCTTCCCTTTCCTCTGCACTCATGAAGACTGGCAAAGCTGTTTAACTAGGGCACAAATGTTTCCTTCTCCTTCGACTTCTCCTTTCTTCTCTGATTCTTCTCTTGCTCTCTCTCTCTCCTGCTCTCTGTTTGTTTTGTGACGGTTAGAGCGAAGAACAATCAAGAGTGACCTCCCCTCTCGACCTCTCTTAATGAATCGTCCTAATGATTCAATTTATTAGTATTTTTATTATATATATATTTTAATATTTAGTATTATTATTCTTCTACTCTTTTATTTAAAATTCAGTTATTACAATAGTATCAACTGAGGCCTAGAGTTGAAGTGTCTTTTGGAAGATATAGAGATGAGGTGCTTGTTGTAGGAGACATAGATGAGATGCTTGTTAGAGGACACAAAGTTGAGATGCATGTTAGAGGATACATTGATGGAGTGCTTGTTAGAAGATAGAGAGACGACGTGCTTATTGGAGGATATAAAGATCTGTGAATGAAAGTTTACCTACCAGACTTTGAGGAAGAATGTATCCAGATGATTTCCTTGAGCGAATGCAAACTATTGAGCAAATTTTTGAATACAAGAAGTTGCTCAATGACATAAGAGCGAGGCTCGCTGCCATCAAATTGGGAAAGTATGTTCTTTGCGATGGGAGAACATGAAGAGTGATAGGTATAGAGAAGGACAAAACAAAATTACTTCTTGGGAGAAGATTAAATGTGAGATTCAGCGACAATACCTACCCCTGCATTACCGCCAAGACATTTTCTTGAAACTTCACTACTTGTAGCAGGGGCTATCAGTGGAGAGGAGTATACGACAAAATTTATGCAGCTTAAGTTGAAATGTGAGTTGAAGGAGACACAGGAGCACACCATTGCTAGGTATTTGGGAGACTTAAAGCCTGTCATCAGTAATGTGGTTTAGCTGCAATCTTAATTGACACTGAGGAATGTGCAGACTTTAGCATTGAAAGTGGAGACACAACATACGCAAGGCAGGCAACCACGCCTAGTTAGACAACCACTCACAGTTGGAGACCTTAGGAGGACCACATCTCAAGGACTAGAGTAGACTAGCCAGTAGTAGGATAGAGCTGCTCCGAACGAGAAGTCTGACAAGAGTACCACACCCATTACAATCCCAACCGAGAAATGCTTTAGGTGCCATAGCTTTAGACACACTTCCAGTTGTTTGACGAGCTGAGTTGTGATTTTCATCTAGTAAGGGGTAGTGTAGGAGGTTAACATGACGAAGCAACTCAAGAAAATTTTGAGTACCAGCTTCCACCAGATGAGGCTGAAATACTTGTGGTTCGATGAGTTGTTCAAACAAAGTCATTGAGGGAGCAACAGTGGCTTCACCATAATATATTCTACCATCGTTGCTTCATGAAGGGAAATGTATGCAACATCATCATCGATGGAGGTAACAACTAGACTGTGACATGAACGCTGATGGTGGAAAAGCAGAGCTTCACGACTCAGAGACATTCCCAGTTATATTTCCTAACATGATTAAAGAAGGAGCACATAGTCCACATTGACGAGAGGAGTCTTGTGCTGTTTTCTATTGGGAGTCAGCTATTGGATCAGGTCTAATGCAATGTGTTGCCCCTGGATTCCTGTCACATTTTGCTGGGGAGACATTGGTAGTATGGTCACAAAACTTAATATGATCGATACAAAGAACACCTACTCATTCATTAAAGATGGAAATCACATTGATCTACCTTATGTGGAGTCAGAAATTACAGGTTCCTTTGTCAGTGGAGAAGCATTGAGAGGATTGTTTCTAATGATGATAGAAGATCGCGAGAGAGAACTTATAACTAACTTTAGAAAGTACAAAGAGAATTTCAGGGCATCATGATTACTAGCTTATCACCTTGGTCTACACCATTCAGGAAAATTCAGATTGCCCTCGCCATGGATCAGGTCGAACCAACCTTGGGTTGTTCTTAGAAAATTCATCAGTATCTACATGATTTGTAGATCTAGTTCAGTCCAGTTGTGAGCTCCTATAAGATTTTTTTTATATGGATCACTGCTCGGAAAGCTCTTCAAGCGTTTTAGGAGACAGTGTAGTCGTTAGTGGGATCTAGGAGCTTCTAGGGCCGCAGTCAAAGAGTCTTCAGTACTAGGAGGTTACAATAGCTCTATAATCGGCAATGACAAATAGATGCTTCAACGAATAAGGTTGAAGCTCCCCCAACACCGAGATTGTTGGGAGAGTGCCCTGCGTTGGACGCAGACATGAGCCGTGCAACTCCCTCGAGCGTGGGAGATGGGGAGGCAGGTTGATCAATCCCAATTTTCCTTTTTTTTTGGCTTCTTTCACATTATCCTTTCTTCCTTTTTAGTTTGTTCCTATATATGTATTTTATTAAGGTTTATAAGTCAGTTTTGTGTTTTTTGTATAGGGATAAATGTCAGCATTTCTTATTCCTTTCGAGGGTTATATCTTAGGGTTCCAAGTGGTGCTTCGGTTGTATCATGGTCTCCAGGTGGTATCTATCTTCCCTATATCCTCTCCCGTTTCGCTGTCACACCTCCGTCTTTGTTGGAGGTTGACCGAATAGCAACCATTTTGTTGTTCTCCTGCACATTTTCTCTGTCCAGCCCTTCCCCTCGCTACCACTATTGTTCCAGCCACACACCTTCGTTGCCGCTGCTGTCTAGCCCTTCCTCTTTGGTGCGGCCCCCCATTTTAGCCCTCCATCCTTGTTGCCATCACCCTGGACAGTCCTCCTACATCGCTTCTTACGATTTGTTTGTTGTCTGACATTGGGAAAACAACTGTCTGTTTTTTCTTGCTAACCACTTTTTTCGTCCCTATGCCACCTTCCAAACCCTCGCCGACCACCACCACCACCTCTGGATCTTGAGTTTTTGTTGTCAAGTGCAATTTCAGTTTTCTGTGAGTCTGTTGTAATTTTCTATTTGAATTCAACAATAATATATGTTATCCTAATGTTATTTGGTTTAACTCCACTATTAGGGATCTTGTCCTGTTTTATCTAATGCATTTTGATATTTTGTCATTTATGTGGATGATTTTTCTTGTATTGCTTGATTTTACTTTATGAAATCTTGTTCTAAATTACCATCACATATTTTATCTTTTTGTGCTGAAATTAAAACTTCATTCATTGTTTCTATTAAAATTATGAGAAGTGACATGCCAATGAACATTTTTATGCACCTTTTCAGACATACATGAAATAAAACATGATGCTTTACCAGTCATCTTGTTTTGATACTCCATCCTATAATGGAGTAGCTCAAAGGAAAAATAGATATCTTCTTGAGGATGCCTTCTACTGTTTTAGTACAGAGAGAATAAATGCTTTCTTGACAGAGCCTATATTAATTTTTTTATCAATAGGATGCCTTCTACTGTTTTACAGAACTAACTACTCTAGTAAGCTCTATTTTCAACCAACTTTCTTTCCAATTGAATCACGTACATTTGGGTGTACTTGTTTTGTTTGTGATTTGCAAACCTTTTTTCTCTAATTTAATAGAGCGTCAAACCCAGGATAATGGAATTATAGATTTTGATTGGGTTTGTCATTATTCCCCACTCTCTTTTAACCCTATGAATGATGTCTTTATTATAATTATTGTAGTAGTTTGAACAAATGGAAGAAGCCATTGTGTCAAAACTTGCATAGTCTAATAATCAATCTTTAAGTTCTTAATAGCGTGAGGGGCAATTAAATATCGTGTCTTGCTCCGGAGGAAGTCTTAAGTCAGCAATATAATGATTTCTAATAACGGTGAAATTACCTGGTTGTGCTTAACCAATTGCTTAGGCTTCGTTTTGAATTGCTGCAATTATCTTTGAATTTATAGAACTATTGTTGGGTAAGCAAAGTTCTTGAAAACTATTGCTTATCATAAATTCTCACTCTCCGGGATGATAGCTTTCTAGCAGCTGTTACACATCAGTAAATCTGATTGAAAAAAGCTCCTTATCTCATATATTTCTAAAACCAAAAATAAAATTTTAGCCTACTTAAAGTGTGACAATAGGCTACAAACAAAACTATGAAACAGATGGTCAAATGCTACCTATTTGTATGTTTGGAGTACTTTCTTGAATCGTAAGATCATGTTTTTTTTTTTTTTTTTGTGCTTACTGTGCTTGTACTTTCATTACTTTCATTTCTGTTCAGATGGCTCTTGATGATACTTTCCCATTCCATGCTTTTCATTTGGAAAACCTAATACTTGAAGGACTCAGTGACCTGTTTGATGAGTACACACTTAACCTCGAAAGAGCCATAGCAATAAGAGGACATGTAGAAAAATGTGATTTTACTTCGATTTCAGCTCAGAAACTTCATCAACAGATCTCGATTTTAGTCAATTCCTTTGAATTGGTGCATTTGTTGCCAACTATTGTACAAAACTCATTTAGTGCCACAAGATTTTCAAGTGATGTGGTGTTACCAAAACAAGATGAGCTTTCTTTACAGAAAGGATTGGATCTCTGGAAGCAGGCAATTCAAGAAGCATCAGACCGATTAAAGTGTTGTTTCTGCCTGCTATTTGTCTCTGACGTCTTTAGCCATGGAAATTCTGAATCCATGAAAGATCTGGAAACCTGCAGTTGTAGCCACTGCATTCCAGGCTCCTCGGAAGCTCCAATGCCTTCTTTTGTTTTTCAGGTATGGTATTTTCAAGATCATTTGTCGGTATCTTAAAATTTTATTTTTTCATTGATTCATTTCCTCCGAAAAGCTTTTGTTATTTTATGCATTTCTTTCTTTAAATGTGATTTTGAGTCATTCACAATTTTAATGTTAATTTTTTGAGCTTACTAATATCTGTGTCATGCTCCAATTAAATTAAACTAAGATTTGGACTTTGTAGGAAATGACTCTTTACATTAGCAGCACAACTTCGAAAGGGAACTATTAAACAAAACTGCATACATATCATGTAAAACAGGCGATCAAAATGCATTTTTTTCAGTTTTAATATTTTGAGGTTTATATGTTTATTAGCTTATAATAACTTAGTATGGATATGATTCTGTGGAATTCTGAGCTTCCTTTTTTAGTTTTTTTTTTCTTATCATTATGTTATATTTCTTTCCTTCTTGAGTTATGTTTTTTTTGATAAATTTTAATTGGTGTAATTATTCGTGTCATAATCGTTCCTTATTATATAAAGAGAAGAGTTGTAATTTGATTATTACTATATTGTCGATGGAAGTAATGCGAAACTGATTGGGAAGGGACAGCCTGGAATCTCATTAAAAATGAAGTTCAAGCTAATATGTATAAAAATGCTGCCTGCATGGCCAAAACCTACAAACACACTTATTCCGTGTGAGGTTGTTAAGACTGGTGGAATGCTTTGTTTCATGGTATTGGAGTTCAACCATAGTTATCCAGTTTTACTGAAACATGGTGTATTTTCATTAAAACTCAATCCATCTCGTGAGAGAACCAACCCATGTTTTTTTTCCCCCCAGAGAATTGCGTTTCTTATATTTTGATTACATATTTGTTAACCTTTTTAGAGACTTCTGGCTTTCTTTTATTTTTGTCGCACGCATAACTTTCATTTATTTATTATCCTGGTTTTTACTTACATAGCCTGATAAGATGTTTAGGAACTGTTTGTACGGCTGAGGCAATTAGAAGAACAGTTAAAATCTATATTGCTTGCTGAAGATGGGATGACGAATAACTTGTTAAATGGGATTCTGCTGTCCGTGATTTGTCGGCTTTCAGAAAACCTAGAGTTCCTGCAAAGTACGAAGTCCCATAAACAGGTATAGCAATCTCCTCAACTGAAACCCAAACTTCTATTAAGTCCTATTAGTTTAGTAATTGATCCTGTTTTATTTTATTTTACATCCAACCATACCATGCACACCTCGTCCCAATTGTAGTGTTTGTCATGCCAATTGTGCACTAATAGAGCATTAACCTACTACTTACTCATTATCGTGTAATCTTATATTGATGAGATGTCTTTTTTCTGCAACCTCTTTATAAAATATGGTCTGATGTGAATTTGTGTGTATAAGCCTTCCATTATTTTAAAATGTTAAGTGTTAGGCAACACTGTTTGCATTTTTTTCAGCTTTATCTGTTTGCCTGTCAATCCAATCAGAATTATTGTTACCTTTTCTTTGCGTTCAGTTGCTTCTAGATGTGCACTTTTTGATGGAGATGGCAATGGTTGGAGGTTACTTTTCAGAAAATCTAATAGTAGCAGCATTGGATTTAATGGCAATTATGAAAGAGAAGCTATCAGCAAATGAATTCCATCTGAACAGGTGACACGTTAATCTCACTAATCATCATTGTTGAATCATAAAAATTTCTGTTGACTATTCAATAAAACTGTCTCAAATTCAAGGCACATTCTTTTTCTACTGTTTTTTCCTTAGAATTTTATTGATTTGTCACAATCCAATCGACCTAACCAATTCTGCATGAATAATTAACAAAATGCTTGGCTATGAAAAATTTAACAGAACCAAAAGAAAAGTGCTGAATTATTAACTGAATGAATACCATATACCAAAATGCTTGGCTATGAGTTAAATATAATTTGACTCATAATGGAATATTTGTGTTGTGTTTGTTGCTATTAAAGTTTTCAGGTGTCGTGTGCTGTATTTTTCCTTTCAAGAGTGTTAGTTGTAACCGCCCATGCTTATGCTTTCAATAATAATATTTTCTTTTTCTATTGTTGTTTGGGTTAACTCTTGTATCAGTGAGGCAAAGTCACTCGGGCACTAAATAAGATGGTTGAGTAAAATTATAAATAATATTTAATAATATTTTGTTTTTAAATGATGATGAAAGTTGCTAAATTCTTCTAGTTATTGATGGCTAGTATATGACCGAGGAGTTTCACACATAAAAATATTTTTGATTAGAGTGTTTTGTCTAAATTATATTTTCTTTGGATGCAAACACAATTGAAGTATATTTGAACATTTAAATACAAAAATAATTTTTTATTGGTTATTATCATAAAATTTTATAACTTGGTAATTTTAATAAATTTTAGTTGAAGCTTCATAGCAATAGAAAAAGCATAATGGATTTAATAAATTTTGTTTGCAGCTTCATAGCAAAAGAAAAAGGCATGATGGACTGTGATCAAGTTTATGTAAAATATAATAGGGCCTGGATTGTGATACAATTATTGTGATGTTATGGACTGTCTTTTTGACTTATGTTGATGATACAAATGGTTGGTTCACAAGAAAAATAGATAATAATTCAATGATGATAATGCATTAGTTATTTGTGAGAAAAAATTCATATCGAGTACAGTTGTAAAAATTTCTGGTGTTTATAAAAGAAGCTACAATATTCAAGTGCATTCTAAATACAAAAAGAATAAATTTTCATCTAGGCTTAAGATGTTGTAACTGAATATGAAAACGATCATAGTGATAAAGAAGTTTATGATTTAAAAGATAATGATAATGTTGATGAAAGAAATAATATTCTTTTTTACTATTTATGATGATGATGATAATTTTTTATTTAACTAGTTTAACTTCTAAGAAAAATATTGAACATCAAAAAAATTATATTATTTTGAAATTTAAGTGGTTGAAGTGTTGATCAATTAAACTTGAGTGTTAATTTAATTATCATGCTGGTTTATTAATTAATGTAATAGTCTTTCATTTTAGTCATAACTTTTTTTATATTTTGAGTCATGTTTAAAATGACACACATCACGCCATATGCTGTCTTCAGAGGGATCTTTGTACAATGGTGTATTTATTGATAAAAAAGTAATGGTGGTCTTATCCTTCTTCTAATCCAGTCATCATACTAACAATACAATTTAAAATATTGACATTTTTTTGCTATAAGGTGTTGCCACCTTGTCTTCTAAGCTAGTTCTTTTTTGTTCCATTCTCCTTATCCCAAATCACATGCCATACAGTATTGAACTGTGAATGATTGACATAACCAGTCTAAACAGTAATAACAAATAGCAATTTTTAACATTCAAATTATATGTATACCATAGGTGCATTCACATAAAACACGTGGTCCTATGTTATTTCACTTGGAGCAGTACCTTGTAATCACACTGTTTGATGGTCCTCTGCATGGCTGTTAGCTTATCATGAGGATATTAGTAATAAAATGGCTAGTATTGTGTTTTTTTTATATTTGGGTTCCAATCATAAAAACAATTGGGGTTGAATCTAAATTTAATATGAGATTAGATTAAATCAAAACCTTATATAGAATCTAAACCTATCCTTGAGTTTGAAAGTGAATAGAAAATGCATACTAATGTTAAATCAATTGAGGAAGTTTATGATGTTATTCTTGAGATTAATCCTTTGAACTGTTAAGAAGAACGGAGTTATCTTTCATCCTTTGTGTTGGATAGAGGGGCCTCAACTCTTTTATTCTCTCGATTGTGACCCATATTATGCCACCACCTCTTTGGATTCATGGGCAAATACAAACACACATGCAGACTATACCCCCATCACCAACATTATCCTTTTGATGAATAGTCAAATCGATAGCAATTTTATTTTTAGCTTTTAGTTTCTTGACTTGCACATTTATAGAATAAAACTTATTGAGAAAATCAAACTATGGCTCCTATAGATTCATTCTAGATAATTTATTTCCAAAAAAAATGACCTTAATTCAAAAGATCCCTCTAGCTTATTCCAAAGAATAATAGCTCAACAGTTTTACCTTTAAAATATCTAATATATTTTTAGAAAAAATTCATCCATATAATAGGTAAGCCTTATTTAATTTAATCATAGTTGTGGCTTGCTTCATTTTCAAATAAATCTTTATAGAATTGAAGAAACGTACATTTTATGTATTTTTTATCATTCTATTTTTTTTAGAGTAAGTGACAGTGCATTAAATAAGAAGTTTACACCCACATTCATCATATCCTTGTATGTTATCTATTAGTTATTCACCTGATTTGCATGATCATTTTCTCTAGAGACTTGTTGACTATAAAATTAGAAGAATAAACTATAATAGTCTACTGACTATTTATATGTGACCAATTTTATCGTAAGCAATGATATTTCTGTGAGTTATTTATTTTTTACTTTACAAAATTAATCCAGAATGGTCTATCGTAGTGAAATTATGAGATAAAGTGGTCCCATTTTAATCCTTCTATTATACAAAATTGATTCAATGTAGTCCACAAGGGACCTTTTTTGGATCATTTTTATATAGTTGAGGTACTAAAATTGGGGAAATTTGGTACTATGAGATTAAATTGATCATGTACAAATAGTCGGGGAATATTTTGGAGTTTAACTCAATGGTTATGAGCAAATTATGGATGTGAATTGGAGAAAAGTGATATGGTAATTGCCTTTTCAAAATTTGAAAAGTGTTTTAGCTAAACCCAATAACCTAATTGTTATTCAGGATCATATAAATCATTTCACAAAATGGGACAAATAGTTAAGTTGAAACTCTTACGAAGTTTGAGTTTCTGTTTAATTTTTAATCTATCTGATAGAGAAAAAAATATCAATGACCTTGATTATTCCAACTTTCCACCTCCTTGAAGTTTCACATCCAAAACATACACACTTTGCCCAAACATTCATACTGATCTTGTTCGTTAAGCTATTTATGGATAAGAATTTTTTTCAACTACTATGCTAAATATTGAATATACCTTATGCGACGGAGAATGAAACTTACATGTGATAATTAATGGATTTCCTTGGAAAATTTAAGAGTTAATCCTAAATCTCTTGAAATAATGTCAACTAAAAAATTTATCATCAAAATTTTCCAAGCTGAGCATAATTGATTTAAGCTTACAATCTTCCTATGGTACCCTCTAGCTCTTTGCAGCTTTCTCGGTTGTTCAATTCCTATGTACTGCTCCTATAATGGCTCTTTTTATCTACCAACAGCCAAATCCTCTTTTGACTTTTGCTTCAGTGATTTTATTATTACTTTATGATCTTATTTATACGAATTTCTATCATGTGACCTTTTCTCCTGCAATCAAGTTCCTTAATTTAATGATTCTCTTGACTTCTATACGAGTTTAAGAAGTCGTTTTCTTCAATGATTACCACGATTGATGTCAAGTCCCATGATATTCTATATGATGACTTAAATAGTTCAATAATTGTGTCTCAACTACTTCTTTTCATATGATTGCTCTATTAATAATTTCTGATTATGTAAACCTTTTTCTATTTATTTGTTTTTCTTTAAGATTAATTGAGGAAAATTTGCCTATTTACCATTATCAATGTAAGTAGGGGTTTGTGGCATGTGTAAAAGTAATTAGTACTTAAAAAAAAACTTCCTAGTGAGATCTGCTGTAGTTGCTTCCAGCATTCAATTTCTTGATCAAATAAGTGTCAACTTTTCTAGGAGAGCTATCTTCTTATGAAAGGAGAGACTTATCTTTTGGTGAATTGTTTTTCTTCTTTTGATTTCTATCTTAATTACAAGGTATTGGGTTGAAACAACGATTGAATTTAATCAAATTTAATAAAATTTAGTTTTCGATGAATGTGTGAATTTTAGCACTTATACTGCTTTCGTGGTTTTGAATTTTCCATCATGCTTACTAAGTCTTGACCCATTATAATTTGATGCAGTTTGGTTGTAAACATAATTTTTATTTTCCTTCAAAGTAATAGCTACTTGTTAAAAGGTATGAGTTTTGTGACGCATGAATTTACATTTTTGGTGCTTGTTTTTTGGCATCACATATTACATCTGTATTAGAAACCCTAGAATCTAAGATCCCTGACTCTAAGAACGATGGAATTATCTCCTACCTTTAGGGGGCTGGACCCTTTTTGTTTGCATGATTCTTTCCCACACTGTCGTATCCTCTCAATATGGGTAGATGTGTAAGTACACATACACATACATCACTAGTATCCTAAACCCACCATTGCTTGATAAATAATGTATTATTATTATCATTTAATGAATAATCAAATTTATAACAATTTTATTTTTAGCTCTTAGTTTCTTATTTTGCATGTTCATAAAAAGGACATTATTAAGAAAATCAAACTATGTCAACATATTTTTTGATTTATTATAAATACCTTATTTCCAAAAATGAACCTGAAATTAAAAAATTCATCTATTGAATTCAAATAAATCTACTTCAAAATTTTTAATATTTAAACTGATTATATTATTTTTTAAAGTTTTTATTCTAATAATGAGCATATTTTATAAAAATTTAGCATGTTTTTGGCTTGCTACTTATTAAAATAAATATTTGTGGAATTTAATAAATGCACACCTCAAA